GCTGTTCTTGGGGTATGTACGTGTAGTACACGTGTAGTACACGTACAGATGGTTGTTGAATGAAATAATAATGGCTTGTGTCATGGCGTGTTCAAGATCATTGCAGATATGTAGACAGCCATGTCCATTTACATGTATGTGTGTGTGAATGTGGTTGCGTTCGGTGTGTGTGTGTGCGGATGTGAGAGTGCGAATATGTATGTGTGTGAATGTGTTGTGTGTGCCGTTTGTGGTCGATATTTGCCTGGTGTCCTCTTCCTTCAACTCTCCATTCTATTTATTGTCCATGATGACTTTGACAAGTTATTGCAAGAAAATAAGAGTGGTCAGTTGAGACATAATAGCGCATAGTGCTTGCAAACACTTTAAGCACTAGGCTAACTAGTTTGTATAAAAATGGTTCCACTTCAACAGTTTCCATTACACCCAAAGTCTCGGAAATCAAAACAGTATTCAACCAGCCAAAGATAAGACTTTCAAGAATGTGATGAAAGTTCGCAATAATCCAGCAATATCGCGGCGAGGGACACATTTGGGATCACGCAATATCCGCGTGGGGATTCGAACCCGGGTCTCAGCGTGACATGCAAGCGTTTTACCACAAGGCCACCTCCAATGCTCCGGATAACGAAAGACGGAACTGAATAGTTATTTGTCATGAATGGATTGACAGGTGCTGGAGCACATCAGTACATGAGATACCTTCTCGCGACCTACAGACTTCCAGCTTGTACACTTAAGCCGAGGAAGATGGTAAGAGGATAAAAACTTTCTTCAGATCATTCACCTGCTCTTTCTACGACATCATGATTTTTTTCTGTCACAACAAAGCGTTTTTTATTGTCACATTGACACGAAATTCATCAAATTATCTCTAATGTTATTAATATTGAAAAACGTGACTCTGTATGCTGAATCTTTTAATACTTAAGATGTTTCTTTTTCGCCCAGAGATATGTAACTGCAAAACACTTCAGATGGTATGTCTGACAACGGTCGTTTATCGAAAGAAATATCTACACATATTGAGGTTTTTCATTGTCAAAATGACAAGTTCAAGTACCAGCTGATGGTCGGAATGTAATTGCAATTCTAACATTGAAAAACATAAATCAATATGTTGCACGCCTACTCTTTAGTCTTGAAGTTATTGTTTTTGCCACCCAGATGTTCCTGACTGCAAATATCCACAGATGCCGTATCTGACACAGATCTATGGGTGACGTGGACAAGATATAAACCAAGGGAAATAAGCTATTATATATAGTTATCATTGTGCGACGTAAGGATGTTCATGTGAGTTTTTTCTCGTGAGCGAGTGAGTATTGTTACTCTCCATACCTACCATTAATTATTCGTTTTCATGTCAATAAATGATCTTTGGCAAATATTTGGACTGAACGGTTTTGTAGTCAAGTACAACTGGGCGACAAAAAGTACATACCTGGTGGGTCGTCACCAGGATAAACTATCTTGAGAGAATTTTCGACAGTCTTGGACTGAGTTTTATCTGGAAATCCCAAAATGTTAAAAGTATATTTTGGCTTAAAACTGTTATCAAAAGTAAATTAAAAGATATTTATCAGCAAACATGGATGTCAACAATTGAAACCTCTCCCAAAGCAACCACCTATAGCATTTCAAAAATCCATCTATCAATTTTGAACCATACCTAAATTTTCTGCATTATAATAACTTGTTAAAATTTCGAACTTCCAATCATTTTCTTTCAATCGAGACAGGTAGATGGCGGCGAATCCCAGTAAATGATAAGAAGTGTACTATGTGTAACCTAAATGATATTGGTGACGAATTTCATTATTTATTTATATGTCGCAAATTAGAATGAGAGAGAGAAAAATCTATTCAGAAGTATTATTATATTAGACCAAATATTTATAAAATGAATATCCTATTTTAACCTAAGGAAGTTTAAGAAAACTTTCAATGTTTTGTAAAATAATTGTGGCTTTATTTAAGAAATAATTTCAATAAATTACTATGTAACTAGCTCGATGTACATTGTACCTATTATACCATTTGTATATACTCTTTATGTTGTATAAGTGTAAATATTATTTATGTACCTCTTATGCTGCAGTTTGCAGCCTGAGTGAATGAAGTTCAGTTCAGTTCAGACAACTATATATAAGAGTTCAGCATATTAATTCACGTTTTTAATATTAATATTTTCAAACTTCAGAGTGACACACCGACAAGTTTGTTTATATTCCTCTTGAACGTGTTAATAAAAACCGATTCGTGTGTCACAAAAAATACCATGACGCTGGAGCAACGGCACCTGAATGTTCTGAGGAACTTTACTCCCTGCTGCAATCTTCCTTGGGCACAAGTATATTGAAGAGTTGGAAGCCGGATGTCAGAGTGAAGGGTACTCTTGTACTGCTGTGCCTCAGCTTCTGTCAGTCTGCAATTTCAATGTCTCAATATGTCATAGGAACTATTAATTTCGTTCTGCCATAACCCTCTTGAAACTCATACCTTGGGCAGTGTTGAATAATGTAAAAGAAATCGATACTTCGGGTATCACGTGGATTGAACATATTTCTCAAAAGTGTATATGGCAAGTACATTTTAGCATGTCACTTCGGAACATGATCCTCTTGAAAACTTCCCTCTTTGCCAAATGGCAAAAAAACATAAAGTAAGTTGTAGCTGATGTGGGAATCTTAGGAACGATAGTTTGAAATATTTTCAAAAGGTTCTTGTGTATATTATTTCTTAGATACAATTTATAAAGCTTTTATACTGCTCTGACAATACGTGAAACTGTTCAAAAAGAGCTGAAAGCAAGTTTTTATGAAACAAAGTGATAATGTTTTTAATTTACTATTAGGGAGGATGCCTTTTTTGACGGAGTCAACACCATCCGGCTTAAGGAGTCAACCCCTTTCGCTGGCAGGGAGAGATGTACATGGTCATTTCTGGGGTCACGCGTTTGACATGAATAATATAATGTATCAAGCAGAATTCAATACAAACTTCTTCTTACACATAGCTGCATCTATGAAAACATGTTTTCTCAATATCTTAAAAGCCTCATTCATCTCCATGTTCCAAGCCGATTGCTCCGCTCGTCAAACTCCCTACTGCTTACACAGCCTCACGTCAAAACAGCCATGGGATCAAGAGCGTTCTCTGTTGCAGCCCCCTATCTCTGGAACATTCTACCACTCGCCCTAAAAGAAATAGAATCTGCTGACGCTTTCAAAACTGCCCTCAAAACTCATCTGTTCAAACTCTCTTTTCCATAGACATTGCCTACAATCTTTTCTCTTTATAGCGCCATTGAGCAATATCTTTTGGAAACAGGCGCTCTATAAATCAATTATCATTATTAATATGTCAGTCATTTACGACAGCACCAAACCACGTTTCCTTTTCCATTAAAGGAAGAAATGCACGATTTATTCATATATCATGTTTGGGAGAGTTAAAGAAGTGAACATAATTATACTTAAACGTTTTCGAAACATTTAACGAAATACAGTGTCGTATAGACATTTTACGTTGCTCAAATATTATCACATGGTACAAAAAGGCTGTTGGCTTGTCATTCTGACCTTTTTCTAAGTTAACACCAATATTCTAACACAGGAATATCTGACGAGGCAGTAAATGTACGTGGAGGCATTTACATTTTTGCGTGTTTTTCTCCTTGGCTTCAAATAAATGCTTGTATAGTGTTATAATGGCATACTCTATGTACAGATTGACAACTAGGACTTTTTTGCTACATTATCTATTCTGTCTTGTGGATAGAACGTGTGCCAGACTCCAAGTGGGGTATTCAAGTTAAACTGTGGAATGTCATCTCAGTAGGAATAGCATTATAAGACGGGCATTAGTCCAAAGGACACACACACACACACACACACACACACACACACACACACACACACACACACACACACACACACACACACACACACACCTGTTGTTTTAGTTGACAACATACCCAAGCTACGATCCATCAGTACTTAATGGTATCAAATGTGTGTGTGGATACATACTTTACATAGTGCTGATATCACTATCTTATTTTGAATTCTGATTTTGATCCCATTGTTAGGGTCTCAATATTATTTTGTTGTTGTATTTTCAATCATGCAAAAGATACTGTCTCTATCAACTCATCAGGCTTCTCGGGCTCTTTCGTGACATTTAAGAATTAGCGATTTTGATTCTGATTTTCAGTGCTTCGCTGAGACCTATGTTCTCATTTCGCGCTCTTATTCGAATTATTTCCTTCTCACCTTTCACTTATTTGTAAGAATAGTACTGGAAGTACAGATAATACGTTGCTTGTGCGCATTACGTAAAGTGTCTCGACGTCTCGATCTCTTTACACGATGGCTCACGTAACCAGACAGTGCTAAGGGCATATGCATCTACTCACATAGACATCGAGTCTCATTGCGTACATCATATGACAATTGAACATAGGAAATTTGACATACCGCCACGGGACATCGTTCATTTTGACTGTCCAATCTTAAATTATGGAACAAGAGAGACATAATCAGACATAAGAAGAGAGCAGATGGTCAGTTGTACTTATAAGACAGCAGCAAAATATCTACTTTATGAAATTTAGTTGACAACATACAGTGATATATAATTGTAAAAGAGGCTAAATTCTTGCAGATTATTTTCGATCAACATTTAACCTTTAGGCCAAATATAAAATACTTATAATAATATAAGAATAAATGCAAGAATTCACTTGATATAATATATGTTTCTTTCAAACTCGAAGTGGAGAGGGGATCAGAAAACCCTCCTCCAACTATTTATAGCACTCATAAGCCTCAAACTTGACTACAGCTCCATCATTTATGGTGGGGCCTGTAAAGGCAATTCAACAATGTTAGATGCTATTCATCATCAAGGTATGAGGCTTTGCCATAGAGATCTTCAGCACATCACCGATTCACACCTTTCATTTGAAATGTGTTGTTTAACAACATCGTGTTACTGTATAACGTGATCAAGTCACAATATGGCTCAAATAATGCCGACGTGACTTGAAATAAACTCACTCACTCATTCACTTTTACAAAGAAATTGCCTGCTCATTGCAGTTACTGATACACGCAGGGGTTTGTCACATGATATTTCATCAGAGTTTGTCGCCCAAACTAAACTGACGTACAAAAGAAAGTATACACCTGGTGCTTTTGGATTACTTTCCAAAAAGCGACGTAAATGTTGTGAAAAGAGTTTTTACAGTGATATATAAGTCACAGACTTTCCTAATATGTTGCCAAAACACCACAGATATCGTGCCCAATTGCGAAGTTGCCAGTCAAAATCACAACACCTTTCAAATAATCCCAAAACACTAGATGTCTACTTTCTTTTGTACGTCAGTTTAGATTACATTTTACCAAACTCCTGTTATCTGCATAATAATTTCACACATGCACTGACACCGTGATGTAATCAAAATAATAATAAATGCAGATCACTTTCCCTAAGCACGTGTACAATGAAGACATATTAATACTTTGGCTAAGGCATTGGAACAGACAATTATAGTTCAAATTATTTTTCCTTGAGTGGATCCATTAAATGTATAAAAACGTCAGAACCCTTTACTTCATTAATACATCTTTGTTTAGAACATCTATTGTTTGATTCCGACTTCATCATGAACATGTGTATATGGATTACAATAAAAAAAAAGCGATGGTACAAAGTGTTCGCAAAGAGATCAGCATATCCTGCCACAATGACCATAAGTTAAAATAATGAATTGTATGGTACCTCGTATATGTCCCTAACATAATAACTGGCCATGATCTCCACATGTCTGCAATGGGAATTTGTTTGAAAGCCAAACAGAAGACCACACAACTTTAATTTAAAGCAAAAGTCGACTGGCGCTCTTTGAAATCTTCTTACCAACAACATGCTCAGTTGTATTGAAATGTGGCGTGATATAAACTGTAAGAGACTGAATGAAGACTGCAGGAATGGTCTTGGATATGGTAAAGAAACTGACGACAGGAAAGATGAAGTCATCCCTCTTGTCCTATATTCATTGTGAAGGAAGCATTGCCAGTCAGAATTTCTATGAATAGTTGTTGATGTGAAACAGGCATGGCAGTTTCATTTCTATCTTTCATTTCTAGTTCAAGATGGAAAACCAATGGATTTGAGCATTTGACTATTATTGAACAATATTATGGTTTCGATACATATGACTAATACCGCTTTCCAAACTCACTTATTCCAATTTTGCCAATCCCATCAGACCCTATCGTATGGTTAATGTAACAAATAAACAGATCACGAAAATTCACATACTTTTATCTTACGGCAACACGAAACCATAAACCTGCATTTAAGATATGTTCAGGTATATTTTGGTGACAATTATTAATTGTGCATAATGCACGAGACTATACGAGTATCACTCGCATGCTGTACATGTTCCAAAGTTTATTTATATACGTTATGCTCAAATTTACAGCCATGCTTCTTTTCAATCAGGGTTACTTCTGACGCTCTTTTTTCACACACAATTCGCTTGTCAGGAATCTGTACATAGACACCCTTCATCTGACACCTCAGACACATATATCTCTTCATCTTAGCATCAGAGCCGTGTCTCTTATCAGAATGCATCAGGAGCAGATCATCCATATGTATATCACTGCTAGAAGATGTCTACAGGGAACCATTTCCAATCTCATAGACACCACTTCTTGCACTACAGGATATCTCAGTCTTTCCCTTACGACCGTGAATGGATTTCCTGTCTGTGTGGCAGTGACCAATCTACAGCGATGCTCTCAAAGTATGTGGTATTCTTTAACATGACATTGGTATTGGCAGAAAGACACCAGTATATACCATCAATAATATTTACACGACATGTCGAAGACTGTATGTGACCCTATTTGATGGACATGAATGTGTCAACCTGATGCTGTAATGCACCATTGAGTGTGGGGAATACAATCACAGACTGAATTTATGAGACCGAAATAAACCCTTGATATGCCACCACAGACACACATATCGCGTCATCACACATCTTTCAATCAAGGTTACTTCTTCTTTTCACATTTAGCATGTCAGACATCTATACGACCAATCCTTTCATCTGTCTCCACAGACACATAAGTTTTCTCATCGCAGCATCAGAACCATACCTCTGAACTGAGTGCATCCGGAGCAGATCACCCCCATACACATATTACACCCAGAAGATGTCTACAGGGAACCATTTCCATACAATCTCAGAAAAAGATTCCAACACCTGATTGTATCGGTAAAATCTACTCTTTTGTCTCAGCTGACCAACTCTTATTCTGTCTGATTAAATGGCTTGTGTCCTTTACTTAAACATGAGGTAGTCAGTTAGAACGTGACATGTCAAACTCAAATATATGGTTACATATGGCATAGGCTATGACACTGTATATCTATATAATCAGGTGCGTGAGTATATTTACTTAGTGCTGCATACTTTGATGGAATAGTGTTTACATGGTAAGGAGATCCAGACGGCGAAACACATACTGGGCACAGAAGCCACTGACCATATCCTTGTACTTCCAATGCTTGCAACATTCTGAAAAAAGAGATTTTACACAGATCTTATTGAATCATCGCTGATCAAAACAGAAGATCAGCATTCCTTCTTGGGATGCTGTGAAAGTGACAACAAGACATTTGTTTGGGATGCTGTAAAAGTTTGGGCTCATTTCCAAATCGTTAGAAGAGACTGGATCTTTTACATAAGAGAAAGACAAATCTACAAACAATAATTCTAAGCCCAACACAGTCTGATGTAAATCAGAATTTTAAATACATATTACGAAGGGGAAAATATTGTACTGGTTCCTAGCCATTTACAAATCAAAATCCATGTCCGTGGATTGAAAATGATATCAGCAATGTAGAAAGTAAATACCTATGCTTCCATATACAGAGGTAATACATTCCATCATGTATGTAAAATGTACTTGGGAAATGTACACGTCCAAATGGCTCTTGAGTGAAATAATAATCATCTGTGTCATGCCGCGTTCAAGATTACTGCAACTACATGGAGACCAGCATCCACGTATACGACAAATAGTACTAGCTATGTATTGCTAGCCACCTGAGACACCATGCCAAAGTTTAACATGAATACCCCTCTCAGACACAATATACTGACTCAAGAACTACCGACATTCCAATCTCCGGCAAGACGTTCCATCCACGAGACAACGTGGGAGGCTCTTAAGGAAAGAATCCAATGAAGTGTAGTGATAAAGGCCAAAGCATGATATGGGCCGTATGTTTCAGGCTGTACACAGAATCTGAAAAAATACAACCAGATTATGGTTGATTTGAATCAAAACTACAAATATCGTAATCTCCCCATCACGTTAAATTTCACTGCCTCGTTATTTTATTCCTGTTAATATTTACGGCAAGTATTTGCACGTAGGTGGCCAGTGTAGTGACAAAGGACGACATGTAATATTGAAGCCATTTGGAATTGTCAAGTCTCAAAAGGATCATGATAACATATGTGTCATGGAGAGATTTGGTCCGCAATAACCTGTCCTTGTCATATTGGAGCACTTCCTTTACGTTATGTAAAACATTTAACGGTTTTTTATTTTGTATTGAATGAACAGCACAAACACAGTAAACAGCCCTCCTGTTTAGTTTGTACGGCTTCGTCATATATTAATACATTAAACAAGTCACAATTTAATTCTGGACTCACAAAAGTTACGAAACTCTCCGCAGTGTGGCCACTTTCTGACAAGGGATTTGACAAAATTAAACATACAGTTGTCATGAATATATGCTAAGGATAAAAAAATGTTTTCGAAAACTCAAAATTTAAACTGGGTCGCCCGAGAATGTTTAGTATCGCTCAGAATTCATGTTTTTGAGGTTGTAAATGAAAGTGTGTTTATAAGTATCATGATACAAAATTCAACTCATTTTGACTTAATTCGGCTAATTTAGGGCGATATTAAAACCTCGAGCATGGGCAAGAATATTTACTTTTACTCAAGATACATGTTTTTTCCATGTTTTGGGAGGTCGTAAATGAATACAATATTTACGGCACATTGTTGCATTGGTGTTAACGTAGAAGAAGATCAGGATGACATGTCAACAGTCACTTTGTATCATGTTAGAATACTTTGTGATCATTGAATTAAATCAAATTAAAATATACAAATTATACACACCTTATTTCGTTACAGGTTTGAAAATAAGATGAGCATGATATGTTCTCTTCCTTAACGGCTTCCCATTTGATGATATATCGCATAAATTCTGCTTTGCTTCATTCCGTGAAAAGTAAAAGTAACGTTGTGCTTAAAGGGCAAGTGTACACGAAATTAACCTTTTTGTCTTGCACTTTTTCATCATAAAAAGTGTTTATCAAGTAGTTTTATACCCAAACCCGTTCATATATCAGAAGTAACTAATTTATTTCTTGCGTGATATCAATTCATATTTTCAACATTTACCGAGAGTTCTATGTCCAGAATAAACACACCATGGCTTATGTCCCTTGGAAATGACGTTATTGGTGCCCAAGCGATAAACGAATGACGTCGTTAGACCTTATTAGACCCATTTCACGTGGTGCAGGTATATGTGTGGTTCTTGTGTCTCGAAGCGCAGGCTACTCTTTTAATCCACCTGTTGCCTGGCCGTCAGCTGACTATGTGGTCAGTTCTACACTATAATGACGTTGCAGTTCGAAAAAACGTATACATTGTACTAAAAGTGTTACCACGTAACCAAATTGTTATAACAATTACGGTCGGTCGGTCGCCTTTCCAACTAAAACGTGTATGCACTACATCTAGCTTCCCATCGGTGAATGTGGCGGCATTCTACGTTTGTTACTAAAATCCCTACATAAATCGAACGATATATGTCCCTCCTCTTCAACCTTCACTTTGATATCGACACCATATTCAAATACTTTGCAGTTTTGAATTCTGAAATTCGTTTTCCTATGATATCATCCGCTCATTGTAGATCAAATATACTGAAAATTACATGCATCGTAAATCTCGGCAGTTTTGACACATTACAAAATCACCATGTTACGACGTAAATTGTAATAACGCGGTAAAATGTAATAAACTGCGGAAAATTGTAATAACTCTGCGGTAAAATGTAATACCAATTGGCCGCAGTTTTTCTTACAATTTACCGCAGTTATTACAATTTGCCGCAGTTTATTACATTTTACCGCGTTATTACAATTTACGTCAATTTACGAAAATACGCAAACACAATTAACGTCAAAGTGAATTTTCGGCCATATTACAGAGCGTTTATAAAATCACGTCACCTGTATGTCGGTTATGTTTTGCCCATAAAATCAATTGTATAACTCAACACCATCTTCCTTACAAGAATCCCTGAATTCCTTATACAGTTCAAAATAAACTGTCAAATGGACTGTCACCAAATCTAAGTGTTTCAGTGAAATCGAATGAAATATATCAGATGCCGCGCTGGGAAAAGACCACTTGTTTGAAATGTAAACAAAGCCAACCTCAGATTCTACACTGTGTATCCGTTCGCCTACCTATTGCATACACTTGCTCATTAGTTTTAGAACATGCATGGGAAAGGTATCGTAGCAAGCGATAGTTAAATAAAATAGTTTTTTTCCCTCTGATCTTCTAGATTCATCACAACATCTTATAGTTTCTGAAAGCATGACGCCATCACTGACGCACAACAATGACGGTTCTTCTCTTAATTTCTGACTATTTCCCTTAGTCACAACGAAAACAAAAAGAAAATAACCAGCAGACTGACAGAATTTTCGGACTACTTATTTTCGTATTTTCATTGAGGTGAGGTTATGAATGAAAACACACGTGATCAATCTGTCTTGCTGCTTACAGTTTCTGTTCTTATGCTTCTTTCGTATTTTCACAAACTTGTTTCACGTGATTAATTTCGGTATTATTGTCTTTTGATTTGGGACTAGACAGGAGACCAGTTTAAAATCAAGTGGCACCAATTACGTCATAATCAAAGGGCAGTAACTCTAGACTGGTTTAGCTCGGCAAGCAAAGGCCTCATATTGGCATAACATTTCAGCACTTATTTCGAGGTTTATACTTACATTGTAAGAAAAATGAGTCTATATTTTCAAACATTGGTATTAACTAATTAAAACAGTTCACTTTGATTCACATAAGGATAAATGTGATTTAATTCGTGTACACTTCCCCTTTTAACTAGTTATCTGTCAAATGACCCCATACATCTATTCTTGCAAGCGAATGGGACTGACTCCTTGGACACTGCAACCAGTCACAGGCTAATCAAAATGGAAATATAATGCACTGCACGGACAGACCGAGACTGCTTTTTTCTTCGCTGTTGGGTCTGAATAAGGCTCCCGTTTTATAACGCCGAGAGCACAAAGAATGTCTCGATGACTGACTGACTGACTGAGTTTGGTTTTACGCCGCTTTGAGCAATATTCAGCAATATCACGGCGGGGGACACCAGAAATGGGCTTCACTCATTGTACCCATGTGGGGATTCGAACCCGGGTCTTCGGCGTGACGAGCCAACGCTTTAACCACTAGACTACCCCACCGCCCCATGTCTCGATGAAGGCATGAAAGATGAGGTTTGGTTTGTTCTTTGCTGTTTAGCACCGCACTCAGCAATATTCCAGCTATTTTTGACGTGCATACATTGTCCGTTTTTCCCAGTCCTCTAAGTTGTTTTTGCAGTGTAGCGCGTTTTTGAGTGTGTGATTGAGTTAACATTTATAGTCAGTTTTCCAGCCATATCGTGACTATGCGAGTTGTATATTGAAGATAATCTTAAGGTAATATTGATATCCGTCAAAAAAGGACAGTAAAATAACTAAGGGATCACAGATGCACACTTGAAATTAGCATGTAATCATAAAACAATATTTCAATACAAACTACTCAGTATTATTATTTGCTCTAGATCGCCAACTACTGAAGGTAGATCACCATACATGGGATCATGGGGCCTAACAGTGATTTTGCTACCTGCTTCGTCCCCTGCCTCGATTTACATTATTCCTTCAGATGATAGGTTTGGTTTGGTAGTTGTTTAACTCCGCTCTCAGCAATATTCCAGCTATATGGCGGCGGTCTGTAAATAATCGACTCCGGACCAGACAATCCAGTGATCAACAGCATGAGCATCGAGCTACACAATTGGGATGTAATGGCATGTGTCTCTCCCGGGTCTTCACGGATCTTCAGATGTTAGCGATTTTGACGAATTTAGCTATGAATTAAATCAACATACACTCATATTCACCCAGATATTTTTCAGGGTTTTTCAGCATTGTCTGTGCTTATGGATTTCAAAGTGTCTAGTACAAACACATGCTCATGACAAAGTCGGAATTGTACAATCGTGATTTCTTTTGGATGTGGAAAAGATACTGTCGCTCATATTTGCTCTCATGAGAAACTAGAATATTGTTCAGTGCAGAGTTTAAGGCAACTGACGCACTGACTCTGTAACAGAGCATCGTATAGGCACCTACCGAACTTTTATACAGATGTTGCCGAAAAGAAGCAACGTCCCCAACTACCGACTTAATGTGACTATAATGCCGTAAAAACTTCTACTAAGTAAAAGTTGAAGAACTAAAACTAATCTTAGAAACACCTTAACAAATAAAACTATTGCACCAGGAAGTGTTATTGTCAGTAGTAAAACCTGCATCGGCTGTCAGCT